TATATATATATACTTGTGAGCGCAGTCTATTTATAACCCTATCCGTACGTCGTGTTTTACTATCGTATCCAAACGACGTGGGGAACTCTGTGCCACCACTTTCCAAAGAGGAAATTTACTGGTTAATCCGATCCGTACGCTTTGCACAGCAGTCTGTCAAAATGATTTTTTGAAAAATGCTGAAAGTTTCAAAGAGATCTTCGTACTAGAAACATTCTAAAATGTGAAGAATACAACCCGGGGGTGCAAAATGAGCCCAGGGCGTACGGATAGGGTTAAACAATTAATGTATCCCTTAATCTGTCCCCGCGGATTTATGCACCCCGCATAATTAGCAGAATTTGATTATTTTTTTGCGTAATTTCTGATTATTTTCCTTTATCATTCTTTGTTAAAATTAACAGAATCGCATAATTTCACACTTTTGGGCTCAGTTTGCATCATTTCATAATTTTTCTTGCATAAAACGACGGGGACAGCTTAATGTTCCAAGTTTTATTACATACTTATAGGCCTTCTTTTGTATACATGTTTTAGATAAGACATCCGGGGGATCATTAATCAGATTGGGGGGGGGGGGGGTGATCTAAGGAGACAACCCTATTCTACACCTTAGCTGTGTGAAGGCTCACCCAGTGAGCATCAGTCATAGAGTTGTCTCCTTTTAAATGTGCCTATAGCGTACATATATGGCATTAGTACAATAGACATGGCTGTAACAGGACTTGAGATTCCAGAATAAAAAATGTTGGAATGTGAATGGGAATTGCCGATAATTTTCTCAAAAGCCACATGAATACCATCAATAAAATATGCGCTTCAGATTAGTCTTCCATTTCTTCTCAGCTTCGTTGATAATCTCGGACTTTAATTAATTCGAGTGAGAAGCATTTCCTTTTGTCTTGTTGGAAGCCGCCTTTTCCTCGGTGTTGTTGCTCGTGCTGTCTATCGACTATCGTAGCGTCGTTAGGCCTACTGCAGAACAGGTACACATGTATCTGTCCCCTTAGAAT